GGGTGGGGGATCATGGGAAGTCTCCTCCTGGCCAGGGGCATGGACACCTAGGGGAAAGGCAGGGGGCGGGTGGGCAAAAGCGCTCCCCCCTCTGTACCAGTAAAATAAAAGTTTTGCCAGTATAACTTCATTTACAGCAGTGTTTCCCAATTGGTGCTCTGCAGAACCCTGGGGTTCCGTGAAGTGAAAGTAAGGATTCCGCGAGAATGCGGCACTCCCCCGCCCCCTTAAAAAGACAGAGTCTATTTTGCAGCTTTTTATTTATCCAGCTGTTTTGAACAGCTGGTGGGTCTTTATAGGTGCCACACACCCTTGGCAGTGCGAGGAGACTTTGCACACTGCCCCATACCCAGGTCTCGATTGGCCTGAGGTGGGGGAGCAACAGGGCAGCCGTCCACCAGATCACCCAGCTTGGCAGGCCAGCTCCAGCCCTTCTAGGTGCCTGACTAATGGGTCTTGTTCTGGGTCCAGCTGATCACCAGACTGGGGTTCGAGAAGGAATTTTCTCCAAGTCAGATTGGCAGGGACCTTGGGAGAGTTTTCACCTCCCCCTGCAGCATAGGGCCTGGGTCACCTGCTGGGATCAGCTTGGCATGGCTCATTGCAGCAATTCCCTGCCAGTGCAGGGGTGTCAGGACCCCTGGGTCTCTCCTGGTCCCTGCCTGGGGCTCACAATAGGCTAGATTCCTGAGGGCCGAAATGCTTTGGTTTAAACTACAGGATTGGGGCTTTGTACTGGGGGAATAGCCTCAGACAGAGAAGAGGTCAGGCAGGGTCATCTATTGATCCCTTCTCACCTTACCCTCTGAAATTCCCTGATCTATCACAGACTCACTGGGAGACTTTGGACTCACCATCCAGCCCCTCGCTGCCTCAGTTTTCCCATCTGCAAAATGGGGGATCAGCCACCCTTCCCTATCTTCCACAGTGTGGGAGCATAATGGCCTTATAGACAGAGATGCTCAGACACTGTGGAAACAGATGTCCAGGTGAGCATTTACACAGGGCGGGGGGAGGTTATAAATAAACCTGGCCACTGCTCTGCCTAGAAGACTCAGGCTCCATGATACAGGGCCCCTTGTAATAAGTGGCTGCACCTGAAAAGCTCTGGGAATTGATGAAAGCAGGAAATTGAAACCACTGGCCCAGGGAGCAGCAAGCTAGACTCCAAGTGGGAGGCAGCGGTGTGTCCGGAGGAGCAGCCGAGCAGGGCGGCTAATGAGGCATGGAAAGCTATGAGTGAGTCTGGTCAGAGTGGGATCCCTGAAAGCCCGGCAGGGTTGGACTTAGACAAGGCCACATTCCCCGCACAATGAATTCAAGTGCTGGGGCAAAGGGGGAGGTTAGAGATATCTGGGCCCCCTGTTGAGCAGGGTCTTGAGTGACAGGCCATTCAGAGACCAAAACGAAGGGAGGCAGCAGACAGAGCACTGGCAGACAGAGGCAGAACTTCTGGGTTCTGTTCCTATTCTGCCACTGACTTTCAGTAGGGCCCTTCCCCTCTCTGTGTCTCAGTTTCCTCTCTCCTGCTCTAAGGCAGGGACCAGCTCTCATTTTGTGTCTGTGCTGCACCCGGATCAACGGGGTCCTGAGATCTGTAGGGATCCAGGCAGGACCCAGCACAATGGGAGAGACACTGCTACCAAAAGACAATCAAACTAGAGCAACAGAGCTGGTTGGGAAAGAAATTGGAATTCCAGTCAACATAGTGTCCTGAAGGAGGCCGACAAGCTGGAACTTCCTAATGTCGTGCAGCGGAGTTCCGTAATCGTTTCTTCTGAAAACACCAAGACATTCCCACAGCCAGACGCTCTGGCATTTTACACTGCAGATCAGCCCCCTAGGCCCTGGCTTCCGAGCTCCCTGCCAGGGGGGCCACCAAACACCCAGCTGCGCGAAGAGGAAAAGAAGAAGATTTCTGTCAAAAGTTTGAATGACACTGACACGTGCTCCTGAAATGCGGTGAATTTGACACATCAGCCTTTTTGTCACTGCAGCAAACTTACAGTCTCGTCCGATTGCCACAGAAAGCAATGGAGGCGAGTAACCATTGCACCAAACTGTCAAGGGCTGCAGTGGATTCTCCAGCTTTTTTGTCTCCAAATCCAGACTGGCTGCCTTCCTGGAGGATGACTTAGTTCAATAGAACTGACTGGGCTCAAAACAAGGAGAGCTGAGTGAATTTTTAGAACATAAGAATGGCCATACTGGGTCAGACCAATGGTCCATCCAGTCCAGTTTCCTGTCTGCTGATAGTGGCCAATACCAGATGCCAGAAAGGGAGGAGACGCAACAGGTAATCCTCACATGATCCCTCCCCTGTCACCTACCTCCAGAGAAACAGAGGTTAGGGACACTATTCCTACCCATCCTGGCTAATAGGGTTCTGGTCCGTATTCTACGGGAAGCCAGTCTAGATGGCCCATGGTTTCTCCTGGCCTTAAAAATCTGTGACTTTTATTACCCTTTATTTGGCTGTGGTGAGGCCACACCTTGACTGTGTCTAGACTGCATCCCTTTTTCGTAAAAGGGATGCAAATTAGACATATCGCAATTGCAAATGAAGCAGGGATTTAAATCTCCCCTGCTTCATTAGCATAAAAATGGCTGCCGCTTTTTTCCGGCAATGAAGTGGGGGAGATTTAAATCCCTGCTTCATTTGCAATTGTGATATGTCTAATTTGCATCCCTTTTACGAAAAAGGGATGCAGTCTAGACACAGCCCTGGAGTATTGTGTCCAGTTCTGGGCCCCCCACTATAGAAAGGATGTGGACGCATTGGAGAGGGTCCAAAGGAGGGCGACCAAAATGATTAGGGGGCTTGAGCACATGACCTATGAGTACAGACTGTAGGATTTGGGTTTGTTTAGTCTGCAGAAGAGAAGAGTGAGGGGGATTTGACAGCAGCCTTCAACTTCCTGAAGGGAGGTTCCAAAGAGAATGGAGAAAGGCTGTTCTCAGTAGTGACAGATGGCAGAACAAGGAGCAATGCTCTCAGGTTGCAGTGGGAGAGGTCTAGGTTGGATATTAGGAAAAACTATTTCACTAGGAAGGTGGTGAAGCACTGGAATGGGTTACCCAGGGAGGTGGTGGAATCTCCATCCCTAGAGCTTTTTAAGTCTTTGCTTGACAAAGCCCTGGCTGGGTTGATTTAGCTGGGATTGGTCCTGCCTTGGGCAGGGGGATGGACGTGATGACCTCCTGAGATCTCTTCCAGTTCTATGATTCTACTGTTTTCCAGTCACAGATCGGCTTAAACCTTGGAGTAGGAGTTTTGCCTCCAAAATTAGCTACTTGCATTAACTATAGTAACACTAGATGTTCTCAAGATCCCTAGAAATGAATCCACCCCCTCTTGGAATCACACCAAGTTCTTCACCTCCTGTGGCAATGAGTCCCATCCACTCATTCCAGGCTATGTAATAAAGTCATTTCTTTTGATGAGCCTCATTTGCTGTCCCCTTGCCCTTGGGTTGGGGGACAAAGGTGCCTGGTCGCCTGTCACTTTCCCAGTTGTTATAATACAGATTCTAAACATGTTCCCTCAAATTCGTCTCCTCTCTAATGTGAGCAAACCCCATCCAGACAAGCATTTCTCCCAGGAATTTTACTTGGTCTTTAATAATTCAGTTGCCATGCTCTGCACCCTGTGATTGTCGATCCATACCGCACCAAGAGCATACGCGCCCCGAGAGCCAAGTGATGTGCCTGCCACCGCCCCCCTGGGGGAATCCAAGGGACCCCCCCCAACACGCACACAGCCCTACCCAGCCAACCCTGGGGTAAGGGCCTACCCCACTCCTACAAAACAAATTCCCAGCACCCACACCATGACCCTGTTGACACCCCTATTCCCAGCACACTGAACACACACTCATGCTCAGGCAGAGTCTAGCCCCCTCCCGTCCCCCTGCCTTTCTACTCTGCAGCCCAGTCACAAGAGTGGAATCAACGGGGGCTCTCACAGCCCCTCCTCTCCTACTTCCAGCTGGCGGGGGAGGTGGGGTGTATCAGCGCCAGACTCTTTCGCAGCGATCCCTAGCTGTTAGTTTGAGTGGCAAGAGCAGTTGCGTGGTTAGGAAGGGAATGGGGAGCCTGAACAGCCGAACGCCCACGCCCGGGGTTTGAATGGAGCAGCCTGTCATGCAGGCGTAACACAAGTGCTTCTGTTTATCACCAGCGCCCCAGAGAATCGAGCACAATGCCAGGGAATGTGAACAGCCAAGTAGGAAACTGGCAGGCTGGAGGCTTCAGCATGTGAGATCAACAGCCACGGATAGAACCCTGGAGTCCTGATTCTCAGCCCCCCCTTGAACTCCCCCCCCAGGGTCTAACTCGCTAGCTCCCACTCCCATCCCAGAGCTGGCGATAGAACCCAGGGGTGCTGGCTCCAACCTCTAACCACTAGACCTCATTGCTAGCTTCCATGGATCAGGCACAGAAGTGGGCTTAAACACATGCTTGCCAGTGGATTCAAATCTGACCCCAGACTGAGCGTCACACACAGTGCTATGGGTAACGCCCCCTCCACCTCTAACACACACAGCGCCCCTTTGCTTTCTCCTCCTCCCACATGCACCCCGAGGCTGCTGAGAGCACCTGTCACTCAGGGAAAATGTTTTCCCAGGGAGCCTTTTTAGAAAGGAAAACGGGGTTTCCTCACACACAGAGAATTCCCACAGAACATTTCCACCAGCCTCCGAATTGTTGATTTTTCTTTGAACACTGAAAACTGAACATCATGGGGCCAAACACTGCCTAGCGTTTGGAAGTTCCTAGCGGGAGATGTTAAGGTTCTGGGGAAAACGTCCTGGATTTTCAGCAGCTTTCAGCCCAAACTGTTCCCTTCCAAATTTTCCAGGTCTGGGATGAAAATTTTAGTTTTTTGATGTCAAGTCAAAATGTCCTCCAACAAAGAGCAGACCCACACTCGGCCCTTCCCCAGCATGGTGCTGAACTGGGCCTGTATGGTCCCGCAGCAACACGGCACGATGTCCTACCTCGATGCGGCCAGTATCGGGCTGGAAGCCACGGGAGGGGTCCTCAGTGGTGACGCGGCACTGGATGGCACAGCCATTGATGCGTACATTGTCCTGTTTCAGGCCCAGCTCTTCCAGGCTCTTCCCCTCTGCGATATGGATCTGGGCATGCACCAGGTCCACGCTGCCAAGAGAGTAGAAGACGGGAGCTGGGGTTAACTTTCAGCTGACTGCAGGACTGCCAGTGTCTGCCAGAACCGTTCCCAGCAACCCGACCTCCTCTGCAGAGCCCAGGTGTCACTGAACAACCCTCAAATGGGGCACCTAATCCCTATGGCCTGTTATCTCATAGAGAGCCCCCATAATGGCTCACATCACCTGCCACACTTCTCCTCCATTATCCCCCAGTGTCCTCACAGGGCTGGAGAGCTGCAGGTGCATTGGGTCTCCGAACACTCCAGGCTAACACCCTTTGGGATCACATAGGGTTTTCTACCCCCCATTGCAAAGCCCTCTGCAAGCACAGGTCAGGATTGGTAGCCTCATTATTACTACACAAAGGGGAAATGGAGGCATAAAGTGACAGGACAGTCCCCTCCCTCCTCATTTTCCCCTCTCATCCTTTGACTATTGGTCTTCAGAGTAAGGACCATCTCCCACTGCGTGCCTGTGCACTGCGCAGCATGTGTTAGGCACTGAGCCTAACACAATGCCCCCTGACAATCTCAGTGCCTCTGGATGCTACTGGAATGGCACCTAGAATCATGACAAGTTAAGCCAGTGTTTAAATGCTGTGTTGAACAGCAAAGGGATTACTCAAGCAGGTACTTAACTACAAGCATTTTTTGAAAGGCCAGTAGCAATCTAAATCCTATGGACTTTGTCGGATTGGGGCAATGAATGTCCTTTTAGGGCCTTGATGTGTTTTGCTGAACTGGACCCACATCGCTGGAATTGTAGCCAGTAATTCTGCCAGTGATGCACGAGACCGGACTAAATCCAGCTCGTGGACACCAGCCAGTCTGATTCTGAATACACTTGAGCGGAGAGCTCAGAAGACAGGGAGCTGGTTTTACAATAGGCCCAGTGAGCCAAGTTCAAGCATTTAAAGTACTGAGTTGAGTCTCCCTCCCCTGGGGAGGGGAGAAAAGAAATCACGTTTGGTTTAAACGATCAAGAGAGCTTGAAAAAAAAAAAAACACAAGCCCAACAAACGTGGGGGGTTTATATGTCTTTGGATTCTGAGGCTTTACAAACTCACAACTGAAGGTGGTGCTAATACTCAGAAGCTTAAAGTATTAAATACATAGAGCCCAGTGCGTATGCAAAACTTGTATCTGTATCCAATCCACAAAAATGATCCGTGGATAGAAAGCAGACATCTGTGAGCAGGCATCCGCCAATTTGTTGGGCTCTATAAATATGCCAAGTTTAGCTTAACAGCCATGGAGGGAGAAATTTGGCGGGAAGGGGGAGGGGGGATGTTTAAAGAGCTCAAAGAGGGACAAAGGAAAACTGAAGGAACAATCATTCCTCAGAACAAGATCTACCAGCTACACTGTAGCCTCAGGACAGACAACACAACAAAGAATACACCAAAGAAACAGAGAGCCCCTAACATCAAGGCATCCTCAAGTCCCCAGTTCTCTCAGGCATGGAAAATTGGGTAAAAAAACCCACCACACACGGTTTTCCAGTGTATTGGCAAGTTTAAAATAGAAAAATAAAAGTAAAAATGTAGTCTGAACTGAATGTTTGGTAAATGAAGACTGAAAAAGAAATTCCCTTTGGGTTGAACTAACCCTTTCAGTTCAATGTTGTCAAACCAGAATGTTCGACTGAACTAAAAACATTTCCTCTTCTCATGCACTTGCCACCCCTCAATTCACCATCCTATTTTAAGCAAATTCAAGGAAATTGAGAGGAAAAGCGGTTGTGAATGCAAAGAGTCCCCCTTCTCCCCCCAAAACCTTAACATTGGCCTTTTCAACATTTTTTAATTTGGGGGATTTTTTTCGCCCAAAATGAACAATTCTGCAAAATGGACGGAAATTTGAGAAACGTTTCAGTGTTACAGAACATGCATTTTTGGCATGTTTCATGTGAAGAATTCCACCCAGCTGCATCAAGGCATGCTTAGGCCAGCTACTTCTCAGGATGATGAACAGATTTTAATCACCTTCTCGTGGTCCTGTTTGATCTCTTACATTAGAATTAAGGCTCCCAATATTCTGCTGAGCTTCACCTTCAAAATATACCCCTCTACACTCAGTCAGAGTGCTGCCTACAACATAAGCTCCGGCCTGGCTTGGTAAATTCGACAGAGGTTTGCTTGAGGAGAGGGAGGCAGTACCTGGATCACCATGATGCCCAGGATCCCCTAGTGCTAGGTACTGTGAAGATAGAACAAAGAACCCAACTCTGCTTCTAACAGATGACACATTGTGTCCGTTCTGTTGGACTCGGCTCCTTCTGGGGTTCAAAACTGTATAGGACCGCTCTGTTCACCCCATCGGACCTTCTGGAGGAGCTACCCCAGTCACTCCCTCCAGCTCAAATCTGGCAGGTGAGCTACAGTTCAACTTTTGTGGCCTAAAATGCTTTGAAACCCAAAGGACCAATAGATCTTCCAACCTGACATCCTGTATAGCACAGGCAATTAATCTCACCTGATTCCCCCTGAATTGAACAAAAAGACTTCAGTTAGACCAAAGTATTTCAGTCCTCAGGAGAGAAACTTGTTGTGAGCGTCAGGCAGAGAACAGGAGAGGCAGAGGGCCCTCCATATCCAAAGCCCCTGCGCTGGTAGGAATTGCTGCGTGAACCATGCCTAGTTGATCCCAGCAGGTGTCCTGCGCCCCATGCTGAGGAGCAAAATTAAAACCTCCGGCTGTGTCTAGACTGCATCCCTTTTCCATAAAAGGGATGCAAATTAGACACATCGCAATTGCAAATGAAGCGGGGATTTAAATCCCCCCCTGCTTCATTTGCATAAAAATGGCTGCCGTTTTTTTCCGACTCGGAGCTTTGCCGGAAAAAAGCACCAGTCTAGATGCGGATCTTTTGGAAAATAAAGCCTTTTCCAAAAGATCCCTTATTTTAAGAGGAATAAGGGATCTTTCGGAAAAGGCTTTATTTTCCAAAAGATCCACATCTAGACTGGCGCTTTTTTCCGGCAAAGCTCCGAGTCGGAAAAAAGCGGCAGGCATTTAGCGGGGGGGATTTAAATCCCCGCTTCATTTGCAATTGCGATGTGTCTAATCTGCATCCCTTTTATGGAAAAGGGATGCAGTCTAGACACAGCCCCCAGGTTCTTGCCAATCTGACCAGAGGGAAAGTCCTTCCCAGCCCCCAATTTGGTGATTAGCTGGACCCCGAGCATCTGGGTAGAATGCACCAGGCAGGCAGAGAGAGAGGAGTCACTGGAGCACCTCAGTGCACGGACTCTGTCTCCAGCAGGGGCCAATCCCCAAGGCTACAGAGAAACTCCACATGACGGAGAACTCACCCTATCTCTGGGTCAGCGGTTCCAATGGTCAATCTTCTTCCCACTTAAAAACACTTGGCCTCACTTCTGACCAGAACTGGTCCAGCTTCACTTCCTAGCCACAGGATCTCATTCTGCTGCAAAGAGCTCTCTGCTCTCCAAAATCTGCTCCTGCAGCTTAGAAACCAGGACTAAAATCCCCTCTTAAGGACAGTTCAGAAATAGAACGGAACAAATCTCCCCTCCACAGCTGATTGGTTTGGAGCTGGACAAACAGGCTGGATATCAGGTGCAGCAATTTAACAGGGAGAGGGATTAACCACTCCACAGCTGACCCAGGGGTACTCCAGCACATGGTGTATTCAGGTCAAGATCAACTACCTCACTCTAGAAAATTAGCACTAGTTCAACAACTGGGACTGGGAGTCAGGGACTCCTGAGTTCTAATCCTGCCTGCTAAACCCTTTGTCTCTCCATGCCTGTTTTTCCTCCTGCCCTTTGTCTATTCAGACAAAGGGGCAGGATCTGTCACTCTCAGGCCGTGTCCAGACTCAGGGTTTTTTTCGGGAAAAGTAGCCTTTTCCCGAAAAAACTTCCCCTGCGTCCAGACTCAAGCCGCGTTCTTTCGAAATTATTTCGAAAGAACGCGGCTTTTCTTTCGATGGCGGTAAACCTCGTTTCACGAGGAAGAACGCCTTCCTTCGAAAGCTCCTCTTGAGTGCATGGATCATAAAATATCGATCACCCTCTAACGTGTGCATGTTGCAGAGGCTGGTGGCCTGTTAGAGCCTTTGTCAGGCATTTGCCTTATTGACTGAGCCTTGATGGAAGGCTCTTTCGAAGGACGGCGTTCTTCAATGTAAAGAGGCTGTCTTCGAAAGAGAGCATCCAGACTTGCTGGGTGCTCTCTTTCGAAAAAGCGGATTTTTCTTTCGAAAGATCCGCCTGCAGTCTAGACGCGATCTTTCGAAAGAAGCCTGCAGTCTAGACATAGCCTCAGTGTGTTGGGCAGGGCCCATCTAGGGATGTGAACGACTAGTCAACTATCCAATAAGAATTTGCTTATCAGATAGTCGATAGGCTAGTTGACTGGTTGCTTCCCCCCACCCCTTGCTGCCTCTATCAGAAAGAGGCAGCAAAGGGGGTGAGAGGAAGAGTGCTTCAAATCGGCTGTGCCATGTGGAGCCGGGGGCCAGACCCCGGGCTTCACACGGTGCTGCCACTTTGAAACATTACGTGCAGAGCCAGCTGGGGTGTCCCCAGGCTGCATGTGGCGTTTCAAAGCGGCAGTACCGCACGGAGCCTGGGGTCAGCAGGAGAGTCCCCAGTGTTTTCACCTTTGAAGTGTAGCAACTGTCCTATGGCTGTTGCTACACTTCAAAGGCAAAGGTGCCCTATCAACTATCAAATAGTCAATGAAAATTGCCTCAACTATTCGATTAGTCAGTTAATCGAAATTTAACATCCCTACCCAGATCTCAGCTGGGGTCGGGGCAGCCTCCAGCAGAACAGGGTGCTGGTGTGTGGCCTCTAACACAGAATCCTAAAGACTGAGGTTTATACAATGCTGTCAAAGTGACAAATGAGCCATCAAGGCTCAGTCAATAAGGCAAATGCCTGACAAAGGCTCTAACAGGCAACCAGCCTCTGCAACATGCACACGTTAGAGGGTGATCGATATTTTATGATCCATGCAC